CTAAATGGTCTACTCGTAGAGCAAGATTTCTTGTAGGGGCTACTGTGGAAAAGATAAGGAGAAACCAGCTTTCTCTGAGATAGCACATTATTCAACATGATCTGTTCCTAAGAGACAGATTTTCAAAGATGGCACTGAAACGTTTAATTGCTTGTCCACTTGTAAACATAACATTCAGGTTAGCTTTTTTTTCTCATCAAAATAAGTGAGAATTTTTAAGAATATATATAAGTATCATCAAAAATATTTTTGGCTTACATCAAATAAAATATCTGTAATGTATTTATACTCATTCCAACCAGGGGAGAATGTTTGAAGAATATTATTAGAATATTATTCAAAAAATGCTTTTCATTCAGATTATCGTGCATTGAAGATAGTGTTTACTGTGAATTAGGTTGTATTCTTTCTGGAATTTTGGTTCCACGGAGAAGGACAGGCTTCAGGGTTATTTCTGATAATAACCTGAAAGCCCAAGTTGAGAATTATGTGAAAAAGTATAATAAAGTATAAAAATCTCAGTACAAAGGAGTTTGTTATAATGTTATTCGAAAATAATTTAAGATATCTTTATAAGGTAACAGAAATAAAGAAGTCCCTAAAAATGGACAAAATTTAACATATAAGTCAAGATCGAAAATATAGCAATAACACAAACTCTTGTGAATCAAAAGTAAACTTTGACTAGCTAATTTTACCCTATCGGGCACTTATGTGTTTCTATAAAGTGAATTGAATAAACCTTAGCAGTTCTTTTTTATATTATAAATAACCCACCTCAACATTTTTTAAAAACTTTCCACAAATTTTAGCCATATAGTTTTTTTTTATAGGATTGTTTTGGGCGGGTGATGATTTGGAAATTCTTCACAGAGGTTTGCAGTCTAATAGACGCATACTGATATCGGACAAGGAAGGCGATTTATTTTTTATTTAGGAAAGTCGAAAAATGGTGATAGGAGAAAGCCGAAAAATAATGATAGGAGAACTATATGGTCATTTTGAGCAGGTCAGTGCGAGAGCAAAATTAATAGAAAGTCAGGAAATTTCTTCTGTACAAGCAGAAACAGAAATAGCAGCTTGATTTTTAACTGAAAATAAAGTTAGTTTTGATGATTGTGAACTTGAGTGTACTTATCAAAGTTTTGATGATGAGGATTTTGAGATAACTCGACTCAATAAGAAGAAAGCTGTTAAAGGTCAGGTACTCATATTCCGTAGAGATATTGTGTCAAAAACTGCTAGAACTGCAATTCGAATGGGAATTTTCAACAACCAAGCAAATGCACTAATAAGTTCTGTCGTTACCAGTGCTGATGGAAATATTGATGGTATTACATTATACCTCAGCTCCGGTCACAAAATGCCTGAAAATATTATACGGGAGGATGCAGCTATTCTGAGAGGTAATATAAGTAAATTGGTTGTTAAACCTAATACACTAGTAATTTTACAATTTCATGGGAAAACTATTATGTGGTTTTCCCATAAAAATCTATGTGTCCTTATACGATTTAACAATGAGACCCACCTTCTTGGTGTGCCAGGATTGGACCATGGAACAATTTTTAGCTATACAGAAGTTACTTGATTCTTTTCAAATTGGTCGGTTCCTTCATGGGCTATGCTTTGACACTACTGCTTCAAACACTGGTCGTCTCAAAGAAATTTGCACAAGTTTCATAGCCGGAAATTACTTATAATGGCTTGCAGACATCATGTAGGTGAAATTCACATCAAGCATTCTTCTGATGCTGTGGCAACTCACAAAACTGTTGGTCCCCGGAACTAATTGTTTAAATCACTGAAGCTGTACTGGCAAGAGGTTAACGGGAATCAAGTTAAGTCAAATTCAACAACCAAAAGTTATGTCGTACCTGGGTGGAGAAGCAAGCGTGCTTAGCACTGAAAACCTGCAAACAAGTCAAGGATCAAGGTATATTGAGAAACACTGAGGTAAGTTAAAAAAATTAAATTTTAAGTACTATAAACAAACAATAGCTTTTTGTACATCTATACTATTGTTTCTAAAATTTTTACTATTTCTATTTTTTAATTAGACGTTGAATAAACGTGGTGAATACTGCGAATTAGTTGAGCTTGTAATAATGTATCTTGATAAAGATCAGGCTACCAGGTGTAACATTCATAAAACTGGAGCCATCTTACATGCAAGAGTTTTTTTTTTTTTTTTTAATTATCTTCGCTTCCAACAAGGCTGCAAGCAACCACTAATTAGTGTTGGAAGTTACTGGAAGAGAAAAGATGAAGATTGGAGAGCAATATAACAATTGACAGACAACTTGAAAGATTGCAAATTATATGAATCAGGAAAGCAAGATGAATGAAGCGAATTCCAAAGAACTGATGTTCGAGGAAAAAAACTAGACGAATAAGAGTTTTTGGAGCACTTAGGAACAGTAACAGAAAAAGGATGAGAATTGATTGAGTGACGAGTAACACGAGAATGAATTTTAGTAGATGGCACAAGAGACGCTAGCTCCTTCGAGCAGTGCCCATTATAGTATTTGTAGAAAAGAGAATGAGAAGCAACATTACGACGATGTGACAGAGGTTGAAGGTTGGCTGCAAGAGCAGGTCCAACTATGTTTACAATGCGTTTTTGCACCTTGTCTATAAGAGAAAGGGCATCATTAGAAGATCCGCCCCAGATATGGCAACAGTATTCCATACAAGACCGGATTTGAGATTTATAGAGATAGAGAATAGAATCCAGAATAAGAAAGTGACGAGCTCGATAAAGAGAAGCAACTTTAGCAGATGCTAATTTTGCAACGGATTTGATATAAGGTTTCCAAGAAAGATCAGAAGTAAGAGTTAATCCTAGAAGATGAAGGGTAGGAGACTCATCGAGTACATTACCGTTCATAAATGTAGGAAGGTCTAAATTATTGCGATAACGATTGGCCGAAAAAAATTGAGTTTTATCTGAATTAAATTTCACCAGCCACTGTGAGCCCCATGCTGTAGCAGAAGTGAGATCCTTTTCAAGCTCAGATGCCCCCTGCAAGTTACGGCCAAGGCTCTTTACTTCATGAAATTTGAGCTACTGATGCCAAGAATCAGATTGATCATTAATCTGAGGGAAAACATTATCAAAAAGATTAATAGGATGGCTGAGTATATTGCACTGTTCTGGGCTCCATGGTTCCTGACATACAAGTTTGCAGATTCGGCTGTTTTTCAGGTTTGGCATTAAACTATCTTCTTAAATTACCATAATAGTTAAAATGTTAATAACTTGAATAAACAATACCTAAATATTCTATAAGATTAGATGAACTACTGGCAGATGTGCCACTATGCTAAATTTGATCCTGCAGCCAAAATTGTTGTCAAATCATGGGAAAACCATACCTGGTACCTAGATCCAACCACAGTTATAATATTCCTAGCCTCTTCCGACAGTAGCCATTACATGGAAGAAATGGCGACGTTGCTATACTTAACCGAGAGAGATGACAATAACAATAATAAAGTTATGAGAGTCAGAGCAGTTCTTCCAGATGTTGCCAGGGTTTTACAGCATAACGATCATCCCCCATCTCTAGCTTCTTATATTTCTACCAATTCATAGTTAATCTTCACCATTCTAGGGCATAATATGGAAAAATGTATCTGGATGAAACCTCCACAAATCTTTTGGAAAGAATTTCCAGAATTCTGGAACTCAAAGATTCGCCTAAAAGAGCTGTAAAACTTATCCAAGACAATGTTAAGCGCGTCAAAAGTGAACGAAAGCTGCAGGACCTACTCCAACTAAAAAATGCTTGGAAAAAAGACAAAAAATGCCGTCACTCCAACATTAATTGTTTGACAATATCTTTTGCTCTGGATCCTCTAACTCTAGCAGAACCCAGTAATACCTCTTTGTAAAATGCTCATTACATTTCTATAAAACTGCAAATATCTATTTGATTTAAAAATACGGTAGCTTTAAAATATATACTATTTAAAAAAATATATTATTGGTTACTCTGTTTGATTAAAAGATCGTATTATATTGATTTATTTCGTTTTGTGTTAACTATACAGGCTACCAATTAAACAATTTCTTGGCGAACTTTCATCGCATTCCAACTTGCTTTTCTATAGTCAGCAGTGGCAAAGCGTTTTTTGAACTGGAGGACTTTTTCTAAGCTTTTAATTAATATTTATTATATTTTCTTTAATTATTAGGAGATTTTTTGTTTCTACTTTTACACAGTGCGGTCATGTCTAGTTGCCAATTTAACATAAAGCGATGAGGCCCAAGGTAACCACAACACACTCGTAAAATCCGTATTTAAAAATTCTGGAAATGACATTTTCTTTTGTCCCCTACTAGTTCTCCGTGCTCCCTTACTCAAAACTCGCCCAAAACATTAATTCACTACAGCAGGGGTTGGGGGAAGGGGAGGCTGTGTCCATGCTCCCGGCGTCGCTGCGCCTATTAACACCTCTTTGTAAACTCTTAATCTTAGAAGTGGAGTCAAGATGGAAAACATTTTTAGAAGCAATGGAAATATATGTGTTTATTATTTATTTGTTAGTTAAGACTATAACATACAAATTAATTTTTTTTTAAATAATTTAGAATAAGGATACTTTTCGCGCCAATCGTCAAAACTTGGAGTAAAATTGGTCAAAAATATAAAAAACGAAACTTTTGACTTGTGGCGCTTATACCAATCATTTTCCCATTAAAACTTATATATATATATATATATATATATATATATATATATATATATATATA